GAGAAGTTGTCTACGATCGGCCCGCAGCCCCAGCCGTTAGCAATATTGATGGCGTTGAGCGCGCGACGGTGGTCCTCGATGAGTGTCTTGATCGCGGCGTCTTCGAAGGAGAGCATGCCAGAGAGATTGTCCACCTGGAGCACGGGGAAGTCAGTCGATCAGGATGGTAACTGAGCTAGTAGGATAGGGAGCGCTTACCATCCACGCAAATGTGTTGTGGCCGATCTCTTCAAACTTAGCCGAGGTATATGCATCATCTCTTTGGCCGCCGATGTTGCCGTGGATGCCGGGAAACCAGCATTGCTGCAGGTCTTTAGCAGGGCCATCAGCAGTCTTATGCCAGAGGGTAGGAGGGAAGGTTATTCGTCTTTCGTTAATGGCGAGCGCTTGGAAAGCATAGTCTAGATCTGATGGAATCGACGATTAGTCCCGGTCCTTCTGCAAGAACTCTTGCGATGATACTCACTTTTTGATATGTTTGTATTATGGAATGCGTACTGCTTGTTGATTGGAATGCCAATTTTCATCGCCCAATCCACCACAGGTCATTCAGGAATTCCCTAGCCATGCAAATTCAGATTAGCGGGAGCAGGTATCCATTATGCCCTCATTACATACCAGAGCTCCAACAGTGTCCCAAACGCCAACAACCTTAACCCTGACATCTGTAAGACCCAGCTCTTCCTTATTATTCCGATACCACTCTGACTTTCTGAAGGGGTCACCGCCTATATTCGCACGGTATACCTCCCACATTTCTGCGAAGCGTGACATGTGCACTGCCGAGAGGACACCGACATCGCAGACAAGACTAGCGACCGAGCGCACGGTGAAAGCCCCACGCGAGAAGCCGAAGAAGAACAGCTCATCACCAGGCTGGTAGTTATTGCTGATGAAATCGTAGATCTGAACCACGTCGATGTCGAGGCCCCAGCCGATGCCGCCTGTGAATTGAAGTGGCAAGCACATCAGTAAAGCTGTCTGAGGAAAAACGAAGAAGACTCAGGTTTCAGCAACTCACCATATATGGCTTTTTGAAGGGGGAGGTCCCCGGTTCCAAGGCCTGAATGGTACGACACGATCTGCTTCACAAGATTACCTTCAGCATCAGGGCCACTGTTCGCAACTGCTCGAGCCAATTTAGCGACGTTTGAAGGGGCGGACTTGTCGCCCACGTCGGACGCAAGCCATGTCCCGTCTGCGCAGAGGATGATGCGCTTGTAGCTGGCC